TATTATATCAGGTGTATTCTATGTGTACTCTTCGCATCGTTCGAATTTCCTTGGAACGGTGAGGGATTCCGGAAATCGCAAGACCCCCTGGGTCGCCCCTCTTTAGGCGGATCTCTCTCACCCGAAAGTTATGAATTCTTTGGGAAATCTCGTCGGTGATCCTTCGAAGTTGAGCGGTCGGCGGGGATCAAAGAAGTTGGTTGGGGAGGAGGTGGGGTGGAAAGGGGTGGATCAAGTGGCCTTAGAGGATGAAGCCGGGGACGATCATCGCGACGACAACGACGACGAGGAGGAGGAAGAAGGATGGGTTGGAGGAAGAAGAGAGTTTGAGACTACTGGAAAGGGAGGAAGCGAGCGAACGCGGAATACAAAGCAGCGGCCGAATGATAGAAGGAGTTTTTGGACGGGGAGGGGGAAGAGGGACCCCCTGCCGTCTATTCAAACCGCGCTTGAGTTATTGCCGTGGATAATCTGTAAATGTATTTATTTTGATTTTTGTCCTTTCCTCCCGGTTGTCTCTCCTTATTCTTTCGGTTTGATCAGCCCCGAGTCTGGTCTAGTCGGAACAGGTATAACGGTAAAATCAGAGCGGTGGAGAATGATAATTCGAAAGAAAAGGAAAAAATTCGAAGAATTTCTTCTCCAGATGGTTATAAGCTTGATTGACAGAAGCGAGGGAGGGGCGAGGGTAGATTGGAGAAACGAGAGGCGAATGGGATAGGAGAGACAGAAGGAGCCGGCACGCAATGCCTGATCTGCTCATGAGCGTGGAAATCCCCCGTGGCAGCCTTGGGGTTCCGAAACATCAGCGTGATTGCGTTCCTCCAGCGAAGGTATTCCATTACCGGGTACCCTCATTCCAGTTTCCACCCCCGCGCTCCGCAGCCGTGCGCTCGACAACCGTGCAAACCGATACCTTTCGATGAATCGTTGCAAACGCGCCCTAAAACCGGGTGATGAACTCGCGCGTTTTAATCGATGTGAAAATTGTATAAATAATTGAGAAATTATGATATATCATTCATCGAATTATAAATTGTTCGATCGTGTACATTTGTAATCATGTTTGTTTTAGAAATTTATTCGACGGATAGACAAAAGTTTGAGGAGGAGTATATGGATTAACGCAGATGAGAAATTAGTACCGCTGATTTTCGTGTGGTGCGCTCGAGTCACAGTTAATGCACGACGTACGTATAGAGCAAGTAACTTTGAAAGTAATAATTTTTCCAGTTCCATGTTCTTTGGAAGACTCCTTCTCTTCATTCACGGATTGTTATCGTAAGTTATAAATTTTGTATCCAATTTGGATATTAAAATATTGTAGTCGATCATACTTTCGGATAGATTTGACGATACGAGGATAAGTTGAACGAACGAAATTCGAGAGTAAGGTTATAAATAAATTTGATAAATAAGTGGATATTCGATAGTGTCTCTGTAAGTATTAAAGTAACATGCTTATTAATGTATCTTTCAACTTATAAATTGTTCGATCGTGTATTCGTAATTATCACGTTTTAGAAATTTATTCAATGGATAGACAGAAGTTTGAGGACGAGTATATGGATTAACGCAGATGAAAAATTAGTATCGCTGATTCTCGTGTGGTGCGCTCGAGTCATGCATCGATGCATGACGTACGATAAACGAGCAACTTTGAAAGTATTAATTTTTCCAATCCATATTCTTTAAAAGATTTCTTCGTTCACGGAGAGAGTAATATTATCTGTAAGTTGATATAAATTTTGTAAATTATAGGTAGCTGGTAATTGAATCCAAAACTTGGATGTCAAAATGTATCAGTATCAGTTATACTTTCGGATGGATCTGACAATACGAAAATAAGTTGAATGAACAAAGTTCCGGAGAAAGGTTATAAATAAATTTGATAAGTAAGTAGATATCCCTGTAGGTATTTAAGTAACATGCTTATGAAATAATAATACGAAGAACGAGGGGAATTTGGGACTCGTGGATAATGACCTGTGAAATACGTTCGACCTCGTTTCCGAATTAATCTTCCTTCTGTCCTGAATGTTTCTTGAACTGTTTGGACGTGTTTATCGGCGCGTGTCTCGACTCTCCGATCGGATATCAAACTTTCCACCCTCTAAAAATTTCTTCTCGTCAAACGTGATAAATATTCTCGTTACATTTTCTCCATTTGTCGATCGAGATTGTACTCTAGGGTCAAAATTCGGTCGAGTCAAATTTTTCTTCTCTCTCTTTCTCTCTCTCTCTCTCTCTCTGAAACGTTGGAGAAGAGGACAGAGGTTTCTCACGCGAGATCTCCATTTCCATGGGCGCAATTTAATCGCGGCCAGGATGTCTACTACCAACGAGTCACACGAACGAATGAACTAAACTTTCGAGAGCTATCGATTATCAGCCCCCGCTATTCTCCTCTGTCGCTCAGAACATTCTCCTCCTACCACCATCCCGACATTCATTAGCCCCGGCGAAGTAATTTAATTTGTCCCAGGATTTGTGGAATGTTAATGAAAACAGGACAGCCATCCCTGTATCAATTCCTGATTAAACTTGCTTCCTCCTCTCCCGCCCCCTTTCTTCTTTGTTTATCGCTCGCGAATATCACGGTTATATCACGTAAAAGGACACGAAAAACGTAGATAGTTGAAGAAAAAACTGTTAGAAAACCTAAGTTAAACGGTATAAACTCTCTCCCTCTCTGTCTCTCTGAATCTTCTTATTATCTTTAAATCGACGGAACGAAAAATTTCCTACCTCCTCCTCCTCCTCGAAAAAAATCTTTCGACGTCCCTGTCAACTCCAGCGAACCATGGATCGTATCGAGCATTCCGCTTGTGCAATGGTGGCCACACGCGTGTCCGTGGTAGGTTGGCGCGTCCAGATTCCAGAACGGCGGCGGCGGGAGAGAATGGAAGCGCGGCGACAAAGGGGGGGGGCGGTGGGAGGAGGAGGGGGAGGAGGTTGGAAGCGGGTTAAATGGGGTTCGCTGGGAGTGACGCGGGGCTAACCGAGCGGAATCACGAGCTCCCAGGAATCGAATCCATGCGTCACCCAGGCCTGCCAACACCATTTGCACCCACCACCAACTTCCACGGACCTTAAGTTTCGCCGCCAGCCATCGAGCGGAAATCCTCTCCTTCGCGCTTCGATTAAACACTCGGCTAACTCTCTCTCTCTCTC